GGCCGCTCTCATCAGTAGTACCAATCACGATGCGGTCTCGTATGAGAGAATCCCAAACTGGCATGACTCGGCTAGTCGTCTTAGTCGTACAACAAATTCGTCAATTGATTCTCCCGGCTTCTGGGAACAGGAGTTGAAGACGAACCTCTCATAAAGGACATTTCGTTGAGGAACGAAGTGCTTTCTCAGTTCTTCGAGGATTTTGGTCGGGTTTTTTTTGTCTCTGGCTGATAGGGTTGGAAGAGAGTTCATAATTCTTTTACAGTCTCCTCCCATTACRGTACAGAGTGTAGCTGCCACGATTTCCTCGCCGTTGTCTTCATCCAGTTTTGCTTTCAACTCTGTAGCTATGACATAGTACTCCCACGAATTTTCAAAGTCTCTCCAGTTTTCAACCACGTCTCCCTTAACAGACATTGGTGACGGTGCAGGARTCTGATACGTGGCCATAATTTACAGAAATATATACTATACTTTACAATTATGTTGTATACTAAGTTAAAGTATAACAAATTTGTATAATTAATTAAAAAATACACAAAATGTAAGTAGTTTCTTGTTTTCTGTGTTGGGCTTCCTGTGTTAGACCCAGTCCACGCGCGGCTTCGGATGTAAATTTACGTCGGTAAAACGTATTTCAAGTGTTCAAATACTGTAAATATCCCAAGTTAAACTTAATTAATACAGTTAATCTAAAGTGTTCTAACAGAGAAATTAATACAGTTTATAGTTACTTGTATCCTTCTGAAAGCATATAAGATCGTCTGGAGTCTTGAGGGCTTGAATAGCTTGGATGAAAATCCTGACAACTGGACTTGGTGAGTTTGTTCTTGATGGCAAATCGTCTCTTTCTGTCGCCGTTTCCCTTCACTCGAAGTTTTTGGTTGGGTTGTTCTGTCAATACGATGTACCGCCAATGTTTTCGGAGTTTTGGAAGGCGYAGGTAGCGTTGTAAGTCAGATTTTTGGGTAAACCACCGCTGCCGCCATGTTATAGTTAGCAAATCACGCCATGTGCCGAACGTAACTGACTTTATTCAAAACGAGGCTATTACGTCATGCAACAGCAGCCACCGACAAGGACAGCTTACAACAGTACTATCTTTTGCCTATTTTGCTGCAAGAATCCTTCCTCGTAAAAAATATTTTTTTTTTAGTGAGAACCAGCGCAAATCACTCACTAAAGCCGGTGTCTATATTCTCGGCAGCGTGCCGGCGCAGTCTTAAAATCAAACGAGTTCTACTTTGTATAGAAATATCAAGCACTTCTTTTGGGCTGTATTATTCGAAGCTCGTCAAAAATGAGATAAATAGAGATAAATAATTCGAGTGTTAGCCCTTTTCGCGGTTAGGAAACAATTTCCGCGAGGAACCTATCGTTTATCCTTAGGCCTTCCCCGGKTYTAGATAGGGTTAAGTTTAAACTCCGCTAGCTGGAATACAGCTGTTTATAATAGAAAGTGAAGTGCTTCGAAATTAATAAAGCTTTGGTTTCCTATGGTTTTAAACAGAGTTTTACATCGGATTTGATTTGTCGTCAATTTTCGGTTAAAATTAAGAACTTATTATGTACTAAAACTTGCACATATTTCCCTACAATACAAAATCTAGCTCTTTTAAAGAAGGACAACTTATATTTTTAGGTTGGTCCTGGACAGATTATGCACTTGGTATAGCAGGAGGTACTCTAGCTGTAGTTGCAGCACCTGTTGCTCTTGGTGCTGCAGGATTCACAGCAGGAGGAGTTGCTGCAGGTTCGCTGGCTGCTGGAGTCCAGTCTGCAGTGTATGGAGGAGCTGTAGCTTCGAGCAGCGTTTTTGCAGGCCTTCAAAGTGCAGGCGCGGCTGGAATAGGAGTCAAGACAACGATTGCTGTCTTTTCCACTTCTGCAGGAGCGACTGTTTACCTCAAGGACAAGGCTTCTGACGAATAATTTTTTTGTAGTTTTCTAATGATTTTGACTATAAATTAAGGATGCTTTTATACACAGGGGAATTAGATGCTCGGCACGACATTTAGTATTTCATCAATTAGACACTGTAATCAGTTAACTTGCTCTGAAATCTTCTGAAGCATATTGCTTGCTTGACTGTTTAGTTTGTCTACAAACTCAAAATGATGAGCTACTATAGATAAAGCAATTAATAACGTAATTCAAGGCACCACAATTTCAGATAATAATTAATGTTCACAAAAGTATTGGTGATAGTAGGCAAATCATCAAGCATAGTACCCAATATTTGAGAATACGCAATGTGCAGCGACGCCATTTTGTGCAGCAAGGCATGATGGTAGTTGCAGTCCTTTTTTTGTGTCCATTAAAAAGCCCTAAAAAGGCCGCATTCATTATGTATACCACAGGGGGGGAGAGGAAATTTTGCTAGAAGGCACAAAATTTTTGGATCCCCCCCAAATCTCAGCAGTAATTTTCATATCCACCCTAAATTTGTGCGATAGACATGATAGACATTTTACGTATGGGCAAAAAATTTAACATACCCCCTTTTCCCTAAATTTTCAGACCCCCCCCCCCCCCCCCCTGCCGTATACATGATAATGAATGCAGACTAAGATGTCTTTGCTTTTTCCAAAAAAGGTGTTGATTTGTTGTTTCTACAAAGAAAGCGAAAAAAGAATTTTAAGGAGATATTTTAGGGTTTATATATATATGATATTTTTTTGATATCTTTATTTCATATCAATATTACATTTTACAAATCTATACAACTCCCATCATGCTTTGCTGCGCAAATTGGCGTCGCTGCACATTGCCTGAAAATGTTATCTTCAATGAAACGAAAGGAACTGTACTACTATCCTATATTTTGTGATTTTGCATATCATTGAAGTCGACCTTTCCTTGGTTAACATTGCAGTATTTGTACAGGAACAAGACTCACGCCTTTTTTTCGAATCACGAGTAAATGAGGCATTTTCGGAAATTTCAATAAGTTCAACTGCACTTCAGAGTTTCACTGCCCACGGTTACAGTAACCCCATTGAAACCCTCTTCCCTCTAGATTCTCCCCAACTCGATCCTACCCTATAGTTGGGGAAGATTAGAAAAAATGGAAGAGAGTGCAATGGAATATCTGTGAAATTTGTTTTAATACTAACAAAATTCGACTTACTTTTGGATATGAAGTTTGGACATCCAAATTTACGACTTTACATTGACCGGCACTTATAGGCCTTTTGCATGAAACAGTCACATGGTACTAATTCCACTGTGCTGGATGGCAAAATACACACTGCCACTGGGATGTTCAAAACGAAGAAAAGTCAAGTTTGAAGGACTGCTTTCCTTTTTTGCTTGGGGGTGTTTCCATTCTTTTGTTTTCCAGTATGACAGATTGAGTACCATATGAGCGTTGAAAATGTAAAATGGCTATTAGCGTATTATCGTTAAATTCATGAAAAAGAAAAGAGAAAACACTCGCCCGATAGATATCAAAGCTAAAGATACGTTCTGTGAAAGTTTCACATAAAAATATTTTAAGATGACGTTATAAGGGTTAGTGTCTTCTTTTGCTACTGGATATCCCACAATTTCTTCAGATTTCAAGATGGCGGCCATTAGTATTAATTAAGGTCTATTTCTGGTAGAAAGTTTGGTTTATTGTGCCGACGAAATATGGTAGATTTCCACATCTTAATGCATGCTTCATACTTCCACGCATGTTTTATTCATCGTAGTCTACATTCCACGAAGACACAACTAATAAAAATAAGTCACAAACAGAAATCAGATCGAGTATTTAAAAGCATATTCCTTGAAAAAAAAAAGATTAAAAAAGCTAACCTTGAGGGGTAAACTCTGCAAGTTGTCGAACTTGACAAGTATTCGCATATGGTGAAAAATACGTGCTGAAATTGAATCATTATTGTGCACGACAGTTTGAAATTAAAAATTTAAGACCGTGTTCGTAGYTCTATGCAGAAGCCCCATAGAGTCAAATAAGTGAACCAATTAAATAACTTTATTGCCTTCGTTACTAGAGAGACATGAGTCTCAAAAATTCAAAAGGCAGTTTTATACAACGTCAAGGAAAATACAATAGACGTATATACTTTAAAAGTGCCTGGAAGACGCGCGTCGAAGCTTCTTGAGCTGTTGGTCAAGTTTAGAAGCTTGCTATAAGCTCATTTTAGTTTAAAATATGGTAAGCTATGCAAATACAATGCAGTTACTATATAGTGGTTTTAGCGGTGAAGTGATTCGGTCAAATTCAAAGTAATTAATCACAAGGCGTTGATGTTATTCTTCAAAGGCTTTCAGAAGTATTAATAATCTTCACACTTTCGACTCATTGACGTTACCTAAAGTCCTTTTTTTTTCTTGTTGAGACCGAATTTTCGCTGTAGTTGTTTAATCTAACTACACTTAGTGGATTAAAAAGTCATTCTTCACACGAGATGACTAGCGACGATGAGGACTTTTATTTTCACGATTATTCCGTCCAACCMGTGGTTGCAAAGGAGGTAAATAGAAGCCAAAAACATCACTTTTAAACTTAAATTACCCTATYCTTGCAGCAAAACGTTAAGTATAACGTATTTTGACATCTCTTTTTAATATGATTATCAAATAATGAAATTTTATCTAGCAATAATCTCGATTTTGTGCCATAAACCATGTCTTGATCTCTGTGTGATCTTGTTTGTCTGCGTTTCACAAAGCCCTCGTAACCAAGACTAATTTGCAATAAATGTGAAAAAGATCAAGGCTAATAAATTTTGTCAGTTATAACGTTATATTRTTAGTTGACAGTCGGCATTTATAACTGTTTAGTCGACGGCTTTCTGTTTTCACACACTGTATTTTGCAAAGTTTGAGTTATTAAACTCTTTTGGGCAAATATAGCATTGTAAGCGAGGTCAGTTCTGATGGTAATCTTTCCTTAACGCTAACAAAAGACTTTCAATCGACGAGAAATACCCAAATATAACCGAACTGAATCTCAACATTGATCCAGTCGCGTGCATGCTGTATGATTTTGATGTCGAAAACGTGATGTTTCATCTCAACTGAAAGCTAAATACATTAGATATTATCATATGATCCAGAAAACACAGAAATTATAGCTAAAATGATGCTATAACAGCTTGGCTCGACAAATCTTTTGTACATTAAAAATATATGTGACTTTTAAGGGATTAATTTTCAGTTAAAACTTGACTTAATAATTCGTCTTGCTCGAAAAAACAATTATTGCTCATAAAAACATAAGAATTTTTTGTTTGTTTTTTGCTTTAATACTGACGACTACCAACAAGACTGGGCATCGAGGGCACTTAAAAATCTTTAAAATTGCGTATTTTTTTAGAAATATATAAAATCTATAATTTTTTTTTGCTGAAAAAATTCAATCAAAGATCAAGCAGGTGTGACGTGGATTAAAAACAAAAAAATGTTAAACCCATGTTTTGTTTGTAGTCAGTCGAAAACCTCAGGGCAACTTATGATATTCATTAGAAAGAATAATAGAGATAAAAAAAACTTCTTAGCATTCGAGAAATAAGACGCAAAGAGTTAGTTGATTGGTTTTGCGGTTGCGACAAAAGYCGCCAATATGAACTTTTTAAAACATTTTTTTGTACATTTATAAATAGCTCTCCGTGTGAAGTGTAGATATTGATTAAAAATTAAAATCGGGAATTTTTTATTCTTGTTATTGAAAACATAAAGACATAAATTATTCAATGAGGGAATATTTTATTTTCAGACTTGTGATAAAGATAGCAGGCAAGTCACTATAGTTCACACGTACGCCATTTCATAAGCAAAGTATGATTGGACACCGAATTGAGTTATTTCAGGGAATAAAAAAAGGCTAAAAAAGTCAAGGAAATGCGTCCGAGTATTATTTTTAGTGGTTGTAGTCAAATGACTCCATAATATAAAACTGTCAATATCGTGAGGGGCCAATGGGCTTCTGATATTGCACAGCGAAGGTCAAATTCCATTTCGATAAAAAAATGAATAAATTAATTTGCTTCTTTTAATAAAAGAACTAAGTCTAATTGAAATTTGTGTTTTTCTTTAGGCTTTTAAACTCACTGAAGAGCATATCAAAGGTACAGTATGTTCAAATGGATTTTGTCATAAGTT